CAAAATCGATGGGCACTATCACGAGTTACCGAAATGGATGGAACCCCGCATGCGCAGTACCCAAGTCCACGCGATCACCTTCAAGCGCGCGATAAAAGCGGGAGCAGCAGCATACGCCGTCGATCTTCGCGAAGTGACGTCGCCGATAACAGCCGAAGATATCACGAAGCTGTGTGAAGCCATTCCTCCGGATTTAGCGGAACTCATTCGAAAATACCCCGAGATTTTCCCGGACGACCTACCCGCCGGACTTCCGCCAAGCCGACCCGAAGACCATCGCATAGAGCTGGAACCAGGCGCACAACCGACAGTACAGCGACAATTTCGGCTCAGCCAACCTGAACTCGAAGAATTGCAGCAGCAGTTAGATTACCTCCTGACGAAGGGTTTTATCCGACCCAGCACGTCCCCATACGCCACCCCGATACTGTTCACACCAAAAAAGATGGAGGATTCCGCATGTGCATCGACTACCGCGCGCTCAACTGCATCACCATCAAGTCCCGTTACCCGATCCCGCGAGCCGACGATCTCCTCGACCAAACTTCGCGGAGCCAAGTTCTTCTCAAAAATCGACCTACGAGGAGGTTACCATCAAATTCGCGTCGCCGCCGACGATAGTCACAAAACCGCTTTTCCGAACCCGCTACGGCAGTTACGAATACCTGGTGATGCCCTTTGGCCTCACGAACGCGCCCTCGACTTTTCAGATGACCATGAACGGTGTTTTCCGCGAACTCCTGGATAAATGCGTAATTATCTACCTCGACGACATCCTAATCTACAGCCGCAGCAGGGAGCTGCACTTAAAGGATCTTGATGCAGTCTTCACGCTGCTGCACAAGAATCGCCTCATCACGAAAGGGTCTAAGTGTGATTTTCTTAAGCAGGAGTTGGAGTTTTTGGGCCGCGTCGTCTCTACCGAAGGAGTGAAAATCGACCCCAAGAAAATCAAGACTATACAGGAATGGAAGCCGCCGACCAACCTCAAGGAACTGCAGAGTTTTCTGGGTTTCGTCAACTACGTCCGCCGCTTCATCCCCAATATGGCTGGGTTATCTGCTCCGCTAACTGACCGCCTGACGGATCACGACTGTTTTTGGTGGGGAGAGAAGCGGCAAGCTGCATTCGACCAACTCAAAATCGCCCTCATGTCGCCGCCCGTACTTCGCATCTCCGATCCCGACTGTCCATACGAAGTCGTCACCGACGCCAGGGACATCGCCATCGGTGCAGTTCTCCTACAGGATTTCGGCGACGGGTTACAACCAGTCGTCTACGAATCACGGAAGCTGCAGGGCGCGGAGAAAAACTATACAGTACCCGACAAGGAAATGCTGGCAATCGTCCACGCATTCAAGACCTGGCGGTGCTACCTGACCGGAGCTGATGTCACGGTGCGGACGGACCACAAATCCTTACAGTACCTGCGCGCCCAACCGAATCTCAATCCGCGACAGATCCGATGGCTTGATTACCTCGAGTCCAACTTCCATTACACCATCACCTACAAACGGGGTGCCAATAATATCGCCGATGCCTTGACCCGCCCTACTGTCCATACCGCCGCGATACTAATCGCCTAGACCAACCCATTACTTACGGGACTATTCACCCACGGCTACAAGATCGATCATTTTTTCCGCTCAGCCATCCATCACCACCGCCACCGGACCATATTTTTATAAGCGTGGTACTTCTCGCCTTTGGGTGCCGGGCTACGACTTACTTCGTACCCTCCTAATCCAGGAATCCCACGGCAACCCTACCTTATGACATTTCGGCGTCGATAAAACCACGAAGATGTTGCAGCGGAATTATTACTGGCCGAACATGGCCGATGACGTGCGCACGTGCGTGTCCTCCTGCACTGCCTGCCAGATTATGAAATCGTCGCATCAGCGAGCAGCCGGACTACTACAGCCGTTGGATCCGCCCGAGCGACCCTGGCAACATGTCACGATGGACTACGTGACAGGACTACCAGCCGGTCCCAGCGGAAACGACGCCATCCTCGTGGTCGTTGACCGACTCATGAAAATGGCGCACTTCATTGCCTGCCAACAGATCATCACTGCCGAACAAACCGCGCAACTGTTCCTCACGAACGTCATCCGACTGCACGGACTGCCCTCCGCCATCATTTCAGACCGAGACCCGAAATTCACATCGAATTTCTGGCGCCACCTGTGGGACCAATTCGGCACCAAACTCCAATTTTCATCCGCCTACCACCCACAGACCGACGGGCAGACCGAACGCGTCAACCAGACCATGGAGCAACTGATTCGCACTACCTGTACTGAACCATCGACATGGGAGAAATCCCTTCCGCTACTAGAATTCACGTATAATAACGCGACCTCCGCCACAACCAACCAGTCCCCATTCTTCCTCAACTACGGACAGGACCCAGTAGTACCCTCTACACCGACCATCGAGTCGCCCGTGCCCCGGTCCCAGAAATTTGCTGAAGACATTCTCGCCGCTCGAGAAAAAGCAGCTGAGGCCATCCGGAAAGCCAACCTAGTTGCAAGCCGACAAGCCGATCGTCATCGCCGTGACGTCACTTACAAAGTGGGAGATCTAGTCCTCCTCGACACCCGCAATCTGCGGCTGCCGATCCCGAGCAAACTCCGACCCAATTTCTGCGGACCTTTTCAAGTGACCAACCTAGTGACACCTGTCACTGTTCACCTTCGACTACCGGCTGATTGGCGCCACCACACGGCTTTCCACGTCAGTCTTCTCCGACCCTACGTCCCGAGTTCATCGGACTTGTCACGCAACCGCGGGGTACCGCAATTGACGCCTTTGCAGGAACCGACGACCGAGCCCTTGAAAATCCTCGGCCATCGCGTCACAAAGCAGCTGAACCGTCGGATGGTTGATTTCCCCGTCCGCTGGCGCGATCGCACGTCCGAAGACGACAGTTGGGTGTCCCTCATTGACCTAGAATCGCATCCGATTCTAACAGCGTATTATCGGCGTCGTAACGTCTCCGATGCCCGGCGTAAGGAATGGGGGGGGGGGGGGGGGGGGGGGTAGTGTAAGGAATTTCCATTCCTTACTGAGTCGCCCGCTACCGCGTACACCCGAACACTTCGACTCGTCACGTTCGGCCTACATTTTCGACCCAACCCTTTCTCGAGTCGTGTCCGACAGCGTCGCCACATTGCCGAACCTAACCACGTCCCGAGGTTATCGCCCTATTACGTCTACTCCTATATAACCTCGTGCTTTCATTGCAATAGCGACCTTGTATTCTCACGTTCTAATTCATTGACATCTTCTAAATCATAACAGGGATCACCAAAAACCGAGAATCGGCTCGACAGACATCCAACGAACCCCAAACTGCAACAATGTGACAAACCCAATGACCAGGCGTGCGACCAGGACCCCTGCGTCAGAGCATTTGTTGAGCAACCCAGGGAAATACAGACTTCGAGAAAAAGGCCTGCACCCCAGGCACATAAGCATGCCATAACCCAGTGACAAGCTCCATGGCTCCTACCAACGCGGGGGCTGAATCTACTTTCCGAGGGAGTGCGCGAAGGCTTTAGGACTCCCATCCGCCTCGAAACGGACCACTGTTCCGCCTCGCGACCATCTCCCCTCCGCCACGCCGCGATTCTCCCTGCCACCCCGATGCATATCTCCTTCCGCCACGGCGCGTATCTCACTTCCGCCATGGCGCGTATCTCCCTTCCGCCACATCTCGCGTATCTCCCTTCCGCCACGGCGCCATTTCCCAACCTCCGGGCCGCCCATCACCCTTCCGCCCTGGCACCCGCCTCAGTGCCACCCCTCCGCATTTCTCCTATCCGCCTCCACGCATTTCAACCATCCGCCTCGCCGCCCGTATCCCTTCCGCCACGACGCCTTTCCAACTTCCGCCGTGACACGATACTCCCTCCCGACTCGCCGCGACTATCCCAACCGCCTCCCCATGACGCTCAACCTTCCGCCTCGACGTCCTTCTCCCTTCCGCCTTGACGCCCCCCTCCCGCCCGCCACGACTCGTTTCTCCAGTCCGACGCGACGAGTTTCTCCCATCCGCCTACACGCGATTCTCCCTGCCGTACCTCCGCGTTTCCACCATCCGCCTCACCGCCCTACTCCCTCCCGCCTCGCCGCCCTACTCCCTTCCGCCCCGCCGCCTCACTCCCTTCCTCCTCGACGCCCTACTCCCTTCCGCCGCGACGCCCTACTCCCTGCCGCCTCGACGCCCTACTCCCTTCCCCCTCGCTACCCTACTCGCTTCCGCCTCGACGCCCTACTCCCTTCCGCCTCAACGCCTTGTTTAGGTGCCCCTCAACACCGTCGACCTCAGGCCCGACGCACGTCACCCTTCTCATCGTCGCCGCGCCCCACAATTCCGCAACAGGACGATAAACAAAGGGGGAGCATCGCCGTCCGCCCTGACCCGCGCCGGCCGACTTCCATCCCCACGACGCGTCCAAGCTGCCCCGCTCCCACGCTCCTCCATCTCCACCCATCCCGTCCTATCTCCTCTCATCTCCTCCCATCCCGTCCCATTCCCACCCAGCTCCTCCCATCCCGGCCCATCCCCACTCAGCTCCTCCCATCCCGTCACATCCCCACCCAGCTCCTCCCATCCCGTCCCATCCCCACTCAGCTCCTCCCATCCCGTCCCATCCCCACTCAGCTCCTCCCATGCCGTCCCATCCCTGCCCAGCTCCTCCCATGCCGTCCCATCCCCACTCAGCTCCTCCCATCCCGTCCCATCCCCGCCCAGCTCCTCCCATCCCGTCCCATCCCCACTCAGCTCCTCCCATCCCGTCCCATCCCCACTCAGCTCCTCCCATGCCGTCCCATCCCTGCCCAGCTCCTCCCATGCCGTCCCATCCCCACTCAGCTCCTCCCATCCCGTCCCATCCCCGCCCAGCTCCTCCCATCCCGTCCCATCCCCACTCAGCTCCTCCCATCCCGTCCCATCCCCACTCAGCTCCTCCCATCCCGCACCATCCCCACTCATCTGCTGAAACATCCCGTCCATTCTCCCGCCATCTCCACCCACCTCCACCCATCTCCTCCTCCTATCCCATCCTATCTCCTCCCTCCTCCTCCCAACCCGTCCTATCCCCGTGCATCTCGGCCCATCTGTCCCATCTTCGCCCGTAACTCAGGCGCTGCTCAAGTGCCGGCATGGAAAACAGGAACGGGTCAAGGGTGCCAGTGGTTGGGGCCGTTTGTCAACAAGTGAGGCACCTAGGGATAAATAGCAGCCTGAGAGATACAGTCACAGGAACTTAGATAGCCATAGGAAAAGAGAGAGAGAACCTCCATCTGATACACAGATAGCTACATAATACTGTGTAGGGCCATGCCCTTCTGATGCCAGGGGTTTGGATTGTAATGTATAAGGACAAGCATCAATATTGATCATGCAACAGCACGCACCGAACACACCACCGCAAAATCGTGCAGTTTCCTTGCAAACACCAGGAATCCAAGAGGTGCCATCAACTGGATAACTGCTTCTTACAGTTGATGCTTCCAACGGGGTCCGGTGGATGCCTGTGACGGGTCCAAGCCAGCAGCGGATCCTTAGAATCACAGGCAACTCGTAGCGATGGGGTCAAACCGCCACTGAATTGAGCCCCATTCCCCCTGGTTCTCCGCTTCTACGCCCCAACGCAGAGTGTGCAGCATATGCACCGCACTCTGCTCAGAAACAGGGCTGTGAAACCAATCGCCACCAGCCCAACTCCAGTCCCACATCATTGCCACTCCAGTCCCACATCAATGCCACTCCAGTCCCGCACCCTCCCCATTCCAGTCCCACATCCTTCCCACTCCCTACCCATCCCAGTCCCACTCCCTTCCCACTCCGGTCCCACTCCACTCTGACTCCAGGGCCACTCTCTTCCCACTCTGGCAGCATTGCTCAGCATCCCGGCCATTGCTGGCCACCTCGTCTCCACCCCTTCCCAACCCCCAGCCCCCCACCTTGAGCATCCCCTAACAGCGCCTGACCTACTCCGAATCCTGTCCCACCCACTCCCTTTCCACTCCGGTCCCACTCCAGTCCCACTCCCTCCCACTCCAGTCCTCCCCCCTTCTCCCTCCAGTCCCACTCCCATCCCCATCCGGACCCACTCCAGTCCCCCCCTTTTCCCACTCAGGCCCCACTCCACTCTGACTCCTGGACCACTCTCTTCCCACTCCGACAGCTCTGCTCAGCATCCCGGCCATTGCTGGCCACCTCGTTTCCACCCCTTCACAACCCCCAGCCCCCACCGTCGGCATCCCCAGTCAGTGCCAGCCCTACTCCGCCCCACTACATTCCGCCACCCGCCCCACTCCGGTCCCACTCCCTTCCCACTCCGGTCCCACTCCCTTGCCACTCCCGCAACTATGCACAGCATCCCTGCTATTGCTGGCCACCTCGTTTCCACCTATTCCCACCCCCCAGCCCCCACCTTCGGCATCCTCAACCTATTCTCCTCCCCTCCATTCCCTATTATGTCTGCAGGGGACCTTTCAACACCGGTCCAAGGATCTGTGGTCTGCAGCATGTCCTTCTGCCCAGCTCCGGGTGCAGCCACCGCTGCCTCATCCGTTGTTGCTGCCACTACCGCTGCTGCATCTGCTGCCGGGGCCACTTCGTGGTATGCAGTGCCATCAGCCCGTCCTGTTGCAACATTGCCTGCTCCTACCGCCCCAAGGGGGCCTTCACCAGGCACAACTCCCCAGATAGCCACCGCCGCCACTCCAGCTCCCCTGAAACCCAACTTCTCCCCTTCTGAAAGCTACCCATGCGTCGGGGCCTGCAGGGGAAGAGGGTATGAAGTGGGGTCAGCCAGAAAAAGGGCAGTGGATATGCGGGCTTTGTGCAGGAAAGTACTCTCCCACCCCGTGGTGTACATTTTTAGACCAATTCGCATGCACAGACCTTACAGCAAGAATCATGCCCAAACAGGCCGGTGCATCTGCAACAACCACGACGTGCCACGAGTGGGTGCGAAGGCAATGTCCCTCTACCTGGTGTAGGGACTTGTGTCTCTTCAGGCCTGTTGAGTTTTCAACATTGTCGTCATCAATAATAATGTAGTCGTCGAACCTGAGTGCAGGGGGGCAGTGATATAAAGGGACATTCTAGGTTACAAGAAGGCGAGGGAGTCGACCGGTTCAGGGGAATGGAGGATATAACACACGACATGAACGGCACAGCAAACGGACAGCCCAGGTACTGTTGCTGTGGGACAAAACACATCCAACTCACCAAGTAGGGAGGCGTATCGGCCGGCGGAATGGCCTGCATAATGCGCTGTCTATGCTAGACACGCCAGTTCGTGTCGGTATCCTCTCCTGTTTTGGGGTACAAGGAAGATGAAAAGTTGGCACACGTGTCCACGCCGCACCTTCCGAATCACAATAGCAGGAATTGTGCGGATAAAGAGGCACATACGAAATATCCGGCGAGCGGCAGACGGGGGTGTGTGACGGGGCGCACGTTGCCGTGTGCGGGCATCTGCATCTCCCCCAAGTGCATCCCTAGCTAGGGACGTGAAGGCAAAGCAGCCGGCCATCGGGGTGGCTGGAGATGCCCTAGTGTTGGGACACACCGTAGGGGCAAAAGGGGTGTGGGGAGCAGGCAGACTGTCCCGCGGGTCTGGGGGACTCGCCGCCGGAGGACGATTGGAGTCACGCCACTCCTCCACAATGGCATCCAGCCATGTCCACACCATGGGCCCTAGCACACGCTCCCGCCTCCCTCTCCGTACGCGCGTGATTCATCTATTTCTAATCTTGAGCGCCTTGACAACCCGGGTGGTTCCAATGCAAAACTAACAGTGATACCCTTGCCTGTATGCTACGGCCATGATGCACACGCTTTTGTGCATATTTGATAATCAACGAATGGAACAACTCATCGCACCAATTGCTTCCACCGTGCACATAGGACTCCATGACGGCTGGACTGCACACCTTTTCTAACCATTTCTTGAACTTGATGTGGGTGTTTGAGGTACGAGCATAGATCGCATTATGCGTGCCCCAATTCTCCGTCCTATACCTGGGCTCCCGCCCGTGCGACTGACAATGGTCGTGTACACCAGCCCAATGATCTGCACAACCAATGATCTCAGCGGAAACCTCCGCCGCGGTCATAACTCTACCCTCTCGTCTAGCAACTGCGCATCGGAGCATAACATGGTGAAAGTGAACACTGAACCACTGTGCAACAGTAACCTCATCCACAAACATCTCATCCGCATCCTTTGGGACATCCGTGGCCTCCACCCCATCCACTGCCTGCCATTTCTGCCTCTATACTGACCGCCTCTCCACCCATACCGATCTCAGCATCCCCCGGCCCTGAGTTTGCTCTGTAGTCGATGCTCGCTCGGCCTCTAGTTCGCCCTCGCCATGCTGCCCGTCAACTGCAGCGAGTACACCGTCCGTTTCCTCCTCGTCCAAAAGAGTCGCAGCAGTGAGATGGACAAACTTGGCATTGGCATCAGGAGTAGCAGCGCTCAAAAAGGGGGGGTCGAAGGAATAAGACTCCTCTATTTCTGTCACAGATCGAATGTCCCGAGGAAAGGTTTGCTCAATGTTCAATGTTGCACTATCAATCAGTACAAGGTGCTTTTATACTTCCAGAATACATCAGGTAACCAGGTTTATCCTATCCAAAGGGAATAGACCCTTCTAGAAATAGAATCACCATGCGTATAGCCACGCGAGGCTATTGGCTTTAAGGGATTACGGCAGGATTACGCTAGATATAGCGCGCCAGTACATCCCGAGCCTGGTCGGTGATATAATTATAATAACAGGATAAACCAAAGGATACTGGAAAATGAGGAATAGGAAACCAAATGAGATGGGGTAAAGACCAAATGAATGAGGATAAAAAGAGGAATGAAATAGAAAGGAAATATGGAAAGGGGGAATTGGTTGTAACGGGGTCGTACTCTCACACTTCCCCCCCTCAAAGCTGGGTGGTAGAAGTAACACCCTGCTTGACAAGGTAGTCGCGAAGAGGACGACGGGCGTTACCCATGTCGAGTTCAGAGATACAGCCTTGGAAGGATTAGAACCCTTCCAGCAAAGAAGAAGCTCCAGAGTGCCATTCTCACGACGACGGTGTCCAAGCACGTAGTTGTCCCATGTCGTGGATGAACACGGCGACGACAGTGGTTGGCATTCGGTGTAGAGCGTGTTTGGTCTTGATAGGGTTTAAGAAGCTGGTATGGAAGGCGGTATGGATCTTCCAAGTGGCTGGTAGGCGGAAGCGGAAGTTGAATGAAGTGGCCTTCGCTTCAAAGGGTATAGTCCCGCAGAAGCAAGGTTCAAGCTTGGACGGAAGTTGGCTGATGTCGAGATTATGGTCTCGAGAAGGGTAGTGATGAGTTGCCAAGTGCTTGTGATGATGTTGGATGTCCAAGAGGGCGCTTGTGTGGTCAATGTACAAGATGGTGGATGATGGCAATGAAATCGGAAGCCAGTTGGACTGTGGCTGGTACAGTGGCGGATTAAATTGCCCGGATGTTTAACACTTTGAAACGTATCGTTATGCAACACATGTTTCGAAAATAGTAACACCCGTTTTTTTCCATTCTGTTACTCGGTTTTTGAGTTCTGCTTCATCCGTTTCTTGCTTGGCGCGATTGTGACACTAACGGAAAGTGGGGTTGAAATTTACTACTCGACTGTCGATGTGGACATTTCCTACCGAGCGGAAGAGTAGATCTATTTTCCCCCGTCGCTCAGTGTGTACATCGTCACGCGCACCAGTTCCTAGCTTAGTTGTTAGTCCGGAAGCGAGCCTACGACCGCATCGCTATGAAGCCGTTAAATGAGAAGAAGCGCGCGAGGATCAGAAGCATGTTGCGTGCGGGGCATTCGACTAGGAAAATAGGGAAACTTCTTGGCATAGGCAAGAGCACCGTGCACGATTACGGTATGAAACTCGCTGAGGAGACTAGTCGCGAGGAGGTGCGACCTACGATGCCTTCGGCCGGCCGCCCCCGCTTAATCACAACCCGTCTCCAGCGCGGAGTTATACGTGCGATTACTAGCGGCGAGGCGAAAAGCTCTTCAGACGCGGCCAAGATGTTGTTGGAGAAGCACGATCTCGCCGTAGACTCGAAGACGGTCCGCAACTCTTTACGATCCGCGGGGCTGATCGCCGTGCATCAGCCCAAGAAACCCAGGCTCTCACCGAAAAACATCCGCGATCGTCTCGACTTCGCGCGGGCGCATGCCGACTGGACGCTGGAGGACTGGAAGCGGGTGATTTGGTCTGACGAGACGAAGATTAACCGCTACTGCTCCGACGGACGTGCGTACGCCTGGATTCGCGAGGGCACCAGCCTTCGGAGCCACCAAGTCCAACAGACAGTTAAGCATGGGGGCGGTTCTGT